CGTTTAAAGGAACTGCCAGAATCCCCCTTTCCGGGTCTTCACCGACTCGTTCCCCGTTCCAAACGTCGGCGCGGTCACGGGGATCCCTAGCCAGACCCTGTCGACCCGGCTGACGCCTCCTTTCTCGAGCCATAATCAAATTCAGAGAAAGAAAGAAGGGAGAAGAAGAATTTCCCTAAAAAAGGGCAAGAAAATCGAAAAAGCTCGAAGAAAATTACCTTCAAATTGGCCGGAATACGCCGGTCAAATCAGTGGAAGCGATGGATTTGAGTCTCGAACTTGGATTCGAAAATGGTACGCTGGAAATTCAAAGCGAAAATGGGTTTACGCGAGAATTTGAGTGTAAGTTGGTGAAGAAATGAGGTTGAAATGCGAATCAGACCTTATAATTCTTGGAAGGAGAATCCCAAAGGTCGAAAAGTTCAAATTTCTCTTAAATTCCTCCTTAATTAACCGTTAAACACTCTCTCTCTTGATTAACCGCCCACTATCCACTCCACTTCCTGTTAATTATCCAAATTACAATTATTTAATTAATAAATGTTCAAAGAATTTAAATCTTTTGATTTAATTAAATCATTTACTTCCCTCCATTTCCTATCGGATTCAAACCCGACCCGTCATCCTTCCAAATCGGGTTTGGGGGGCAAGTTGTTTGGGTCCAATTTATCTAATTGGGCCTAGTCATGTATTTGGGTCCAATTATCTTATTGGGCCTGGTCACTAAATGACTTCATATTCCAAGGTCAAGGCCCGAGCCTCCAATCAAGCCAAGTCAACCAAGAGTCCTTTGGTCCAAATTGCCATGGTCAGCCCATGACTATTTAAAGGCCCAATTACTCTCCTCTCATCATGTGCAAAGGTATAAAAGCCTTCAATTCATTCATTCAAAAGGGGCAACACAACAAAGCCTCAAGCATTAAATCTCTTGCATAGCTTTTTCTCTCTAAACACTGTTTGACTTCGGCATCGGAGGGGTCTTCCTCGGATCCACCCCCGAGGCCAGTTTACGTGTTTTAGTTGTGCATGAAACCTTTGGCCCAACGTTAATTGGACCGTACCAGTTTTCAGCCACTTCAGCGGGCCTTCGGCAAGGCCCCATTGTTTTCAACCGAAACAGTGGTGATCATGATTAATCAACTAACATCTTATCCAAGTGAAATTTGTTAGAGAGTCAAAGAGGAAAGGGGGGTAAACAAAGATATGGTCTTGCTAAAGTGAAATTAAAAAGAGAATAAAGCAATGAATATTAACCCACAACTTCTACTTAAACAAACAAAAAAAATAAATAAAAAAATGATGATTATATTATATTGCTGAAATTGACATAATATTGGCAAGTACTCATAGTGAATCTCCATAAATGATGACTCGTGGTTGTGCTTTTATTTGCATGTAGGAAACAATTTATTTAGAGTGGAACACGATACTCTTCCTAAACTTATCCGTTCTCCTCTTGCTTTTATAAAGAACTTCTTTGTATTCATGTCATTTATATATATTTTTCAGCGTTAAGTTGAAGTCAAAAGTCACGTAAAAGTTTTGAAATTTAATAATCTATATACGGCTATTTCACCAAATGTTACCGAGCATTTTAAAAATTCACCAAATGCCACCGAGCACTTTAAAAATTCACCAAATGTCATCGGACATTTCAGATTCACCAAATGCCACCCAGTTTTTTAAAAATTCAACGAGTGTCATTAATGATCAACGGCCGTTAACTCTGTTAGTCATTAGGGGTTAATCATGACACATGTCATGATATAATTGGTCAATTTATCTTAATTCATAAAAATTTAAAAAAAAAACCCAAAATTTTCCCAGCCATCCCCACCGCCGTCAAACCCTATCTCCACCCCTTACCTCGCCGTAAAAGGCCGACCACCACCTTAACCACCAAAAATCGCCCGTTCGGCCCTTTAGCGCCCCACCTGACCCACTGCCGACCCCCAAAACCACCCACGCTGCCCGCCCCCACCCCAAAAACTACCTACACGTACAGTCGCCCCGACCCCAAAAACCACCAATAAAACACCCCTCCTCCCTCCTCCCTTCTCCCACCGTCGAAACGACCGATTTGAGGGTGGGGAAAGGGAGGAGGGGCGATTTTGGCAATGGAGGTAAGGAGAGGGTGCTTGATTTTGGCGATTTTGATGACAGAGATAAGGCGACCGTTTTCGATGTTGGTGGTTTATGGGGTCGGGGCAGTTTGTGTGGGAGGTTTTGGGGGTAGGCGGTGGGTCAGGTGGGAAGCTAAAGGGCCGGTCGGCCGATTGTTGGTGGTTAAGGTGATGACTAGACGTTTTTCGGTGAGATAAGGGGAGGGGCTAAGCTAGGGTTTGGCGGTGGTGGGGGTGGGGGTGGCTGGGAAAATTTTGGGGTTTTTTAAAAAAAAAAAAATTATAAAATTTTTTTGTTTTAATTTTTATGAATTAAGATAAATGGTTTAACCATATCATGACATGTGTCATGATTAAACCCTAATGACTAACGTAGTTAACAGTCGTTGGTCATTAATGTCACTCGGTGAATTTTTAAAAAACTGGGTAACATTTGGTGAATTATGAAAAGTCCGATGACATTTGGTGAATTTTTAAATTCCTCAGTGGCATTTGGTGAAATAGCCGATCTATATATGATAAGCCGATATACTCACAACATGAAGGTTTAATTTACGTTATCTGTTTTTATTATGACTTATCTGAACTTATATGAATATAAATTATATATGAGCTAATTAAACAAATTCTCAAGAGAGCGTAATAGTGTGAGTGACATACTGACATGATTGTGTAATTCTTGAACTTTCTCTAAGCTAACTTTTGAAGTTGTGTTTGTATATATTAAATGCAATATTGAAAATAAAAGGGTAAAAATAAACAAGAGTAGCATAATTAAATGATACAAGTAGGATAATATAGTAGTGGTAGACAAGTAGTACTACTGGCCTACAGCAGGTTTGCTATTGTATAGTGTAATAAATGGGGAAGAGTTAAATAAAAACGTAGAGTAAAATGAATTAAATAAAAGGAGTGAACATTGAAGAAGAAATTAGAAATGTAGTAAGAGAATGAAAAGAAAGAGAAAAGGATTAAAGGAGTAATGAAAGCAGCAACAACAACTTAAATACGAAGACAGTACAGAACACTTTAATTTACTCTCTACTCGGCTGATGAAGGAGTATAGAAGTAGACTTTAGTAGTAGCCACTGCTAGCTAGTTGTAGTTGTAATTTCTGAATTGTAAGTTTAGGATCAGTAAAGTATTCAGTATTCAGTATTCAGTATTCAGTAGTAGACTTTTTAAAAAAATTACAGGCCATGCCAATATGCTATGCCGCCACCCATTGGAGGCTATTGTCAGCCCCCTGTCCTGCCAACTTCCAAGCCCAACTCCCTCTTTCTTCTATTGTCACACTCACAGGCAGGGATTGTTGCACACTCTTAAATTACTCCTACTTCATACTTTATCCGTTTTTAAATACTCCGTATAGCTTTACTTTTTATTTTCGATGGTTTTTAAATATATGTTCCGTTTTTTTGTTTGGAAAAACTTTTACAATATTTAATTTTATTTATCTCAACTAATGAATCCAATATAAATCACATTTTATCGATTGCATATTGTTTCTCCTTTTATTTTTCCGCCTACTTTACTACCTTTATACGGAGTATCTTATTATTTTCTCCAATTTCACCTAAAACACGGTGCAAGAAGCAATTGAGCAAGTATTTAAATGAAGGGAGTAATTTCAAATAAAATAAAATTTACATTCTTTTAGTGTGTTTTCTATGTGGTTAAAGTTACTAAGGGTCAATCAGGGGTTACTCAGTCAGTCAGGGGTTACTTATTCAGTCAGTAATTACCCCTAAATAAGTAACTCTGATCACGTGGTATGGCCAACACTTATGAAAATTTAACCATTTCTTAAATATGGTGTAAGTTAAGACATGTTCAAATGAATCAAACAGAATATCAAAGGTTTTCTTCTTAATGTACTTATGTACCATCTTAAACATATCAAACTTATAAAGAATGATTTTATTGAAGATGGAAAAAATAATCAATCAATTAATGCTTTTATTAGAAACCAAATACAGTAGTAGTCCATGCTAGCCTATGTAATTTATTTTCACAGATTTGTACAAACAGGTATTACCTTGTACAAAATGTAACATTAACATAAATACAATAACAGTTGTCAACTCGTGATTTTATCAACAATTTACACATTAATACGGTTTGAAAATGGATACACTTTATGCGACAATTATAAGAATTCACAACAAAAATCACTGGTTATTACTATTGAGCGTTATTGTTTGATTTGCTTTAATATTTCTTCATTTTACTTCTTTATTATAAGAAACCTTAACGTCCTTGATCGGCTTAATGGCTAGACATAACATTTTTGTTATTAATTTATTTTTTTTATTTTTAATTTTCTTAGAAAAACTTTATAGTACTCATAATACACGGGCCTGTTCTTATACGTTGAAATTCAGTTCAGTTTCAGCTCCTAATTTCCTTCTCTTATAAAATATTCATTTCATTTCATTTCAGTTCAGTTCGGTTTAATCAATGAGAACAGACTCTTATACTCATTCTTATAACGTATAGACCCACGTTACATATGTGTTACATGCTTTCTCCAATTCTCCCATAATTTAATACATCATAGTTTTAATCGTGACGTGGGATGCATAGTTCTTAATGAGATGACATAGTTATAGACAAATAAAAATGAAACTTGTGTGATGGAGTAAAATAAAAGAAAAAACTAATGTGAACCGTTAGCCAAATAAAATAATCTGTTTTGAAATAAGGTCTATTAATGTGACTTTTAAACTATTCATATACATACATTACAATGACATTTATATATGTTTTAAACAAAATCAATCAAATATACTCGTAATTATGTGATTATTTGTTAGAATCTTTTAAATTAATATGAATATAAACATTATCAAAAACAAAATATAAGTTGAGTTATAAACAAAACAATAAGACGGACCTAAACAACTCTTAGAGGTTTCGATCTAATTGGACCGCTTTAGAGGAACCGAAATATAAAAAAAATAAAGGCATGACTACTTAATATTTCTCCCTCCTCTTCTGCTGAAGCCGCTTTCTTTCACTCTATCTGAGACACAGACAGTGACTGAGAATTAAAACCCCTGAAAAAGATTAATTTCCCCAGCAAATGAAACCCCCCAATATCTTTCAATTATAGAAATACATCTCAAAAAATCCTTTAAAATTAGAATTATCTATTTCCTTTTATTTTCATAAAATCAGATAATTTGTCCACTTCATCTTGTCTCTTTCTCTCCCCTACTTAAATTCCTAAAAACCAGAAATTAATTCATACCCCCATAATTCTTCTTCATTATTTCATGTCATTTTCTTTTCTCCTTTCAAAGAACCATTTTAAAGCAAGGCATTTAATCTCTTTGGGAATAATTGTTGGGTAGTTGTACCCTCTATTATTACTATAATCATATTTTCTTTTTTTATTTACTCCGTATTTTTCTATCTATATATCTTCTCAAACAAAATTCCTTCATTTTCTCGTGTTCAAACCCCCTTTTTTTTAAGGGAAAATAAAATATAAAACTCGTGAGATTTGTTGCCTGTTTGTGTAACTGGATTTCTGAATTTCTGGGTACTTTTTATTTTTTAAGGATTTCTGGAACAAACTTTGTTTTATTTATTTAAGGAACCCAACATTTTAAAAAAAGAAAACAGAGAGTTTATAGGAGTGATTAAGTGAGTGAAAATGGCAGAGGTGGTGAAGCAAGTAGAAGCAGCAGCAATGGTAAATCAGACAGATGATGTTATTGATGGAGGTGGTGTTGAGGAGAGAGAAAATGTAGGAGGTGAAATTGATGAAGAAAATCAAAAATTCAGTTTCAAGAATTTTTTGTGGCATGGTGGTTCTGTTTATGATGCTTGGTTTAGTTGTGCTTCCAATCAGGTACCTATTTTCTACTCCGTATTTTATTTATTTTAGGCGTGTGTGTGTACGTGTACTCGTATACTAGTAGTTTATAAATGCACTCCTCTCCGTAAGAGAGCGATTCATAGAGCCGCTCTCGTGGAGTGGAGCGCGATTAATTTAATTTTTGATGTGCTAAAATTATATTTTGACTTAATAATAGAAAGACCTTTGGAATTGGATTTGAATTTATAACAAAATTAATTGATTTTTTTTTGTTGGAATTGAAATTAGGATATAATTGGTTTTTTATTTTTTTTATTTTTTTTATTTTTTATTATTTTTTTTATTGTTTGAAATGGGGAGAAAAATAACGAGGCATGTAGTAAAAAATTATTTACAAGTAGCATATCTTTCAGGAATTAGAAATATAAAAAACTAAAATCAACCCGTCCGATATTAAATGTGACTACATCTTTAAATCAAAGGGTGCGGCCTGGGCCGTGCTCAAGTCTGAGTTCGATCCATTGTCATCTCTATATCGATGTTTTAATCAGTAAAAAAAAACAAATGATTTATGCAGGTGGCTCAAGTGCTGTTGACATTACCATATTCATTCTCACAAATGGGAATGTTATCAGGGTTGCTACTCCAAGTGTTTTATGGTTTGCTAGGAAGTTGGACGGCTTATCTTATCAGTGTGCTCTATGTTGAGTACCGTAGTAGAAGAGAGAAAGAAGGTGCCAGCTTCAAGAACCATGTCATTCAGGTTTATTTTTCAATTTTCATTTCTTACTAAATTTTATTATTAATTTTTTTTTTTACTGTATTTTATCGAAATTTGTTACATTACCCGTGTTTGTGAATGTTTTACCTCTTATATTCGAGAAACTCTTAGTTGATCCTTGTAATTGAAATAAAAGGTGAATTAATCTCGTGTTTTCTTAGTACAAAAATTACTTGGTACCCCAGAATTCTCTTAGTACAAAAATTACTTGGTACCCCAGAATTTGAGTACAAATTTTAGTCTTTGGTGTTATATTGAAAAAGAGTCTAGTACTTGGGAGTGTTATACAAAGTACGAGTACTAGTTTTATTTCTATTGCTAGCAAAAAAAACTAGTACAAAGTTTTTGTTGGTAGCACTTTAGAAGGGATTTTTTTTGGTTGTTAACAGAAAATTTCCCTGGTTTTTTCTAAGTTCCCCCCTGTTTTTTTTCTGTCCACTACCTAATTGCACAAAATTGTGGGTCCATGATCATGGCAAATCATATATTCAAGCTCAAGCTTTGTTGGTGTACACATTCTGTCCAAGATAATAATGCTAAAAACATCCCATGCATAGTTCCTAATGATTGTTTAATGAATAGTTTGACCATTATGTACATGAATTCAAGATCTAATTAGAGGTTTCACCGTCTTATATTATAATAATTTTTCACCATTTTATAGTACCTCATCTTATTATTCTTACACTCACTTGTTTTAAAAGATATGTCAATGTTCCCATCTTTTGATTTTCTAAACTTTTAGGCCTAATATTCATTCATATGTTAAATTCCTGTTTTAGGGGAGTAGTTTACTTTTTTGACCGAGACCTAATATTCATCATAGTAAATTTTTGCCTGAGTTTTAAAAGCTATTTTTCATTCAAGAAGTTAGTGATAGTCTTACTATTCACTCATAACTTTTTGTGTATAATTCACTTTTATGCTCACATAAAAACCGAACATATATGTGAAGAAAAAAAAAGAATTATAAGATTTATAGCCAAAAGGTAACCCTAAATCCTTAAGAGTAAAATAAATTTTGGGTGAATTCATTTACATTTTAACATCGTGAAACGTTAAAGTAATAAGTCAAATGTGAAACCATCTCGTGCAAGATTCTGTCGTAATTAAAAGTTCCCACACCACTATCTTATGTTGTCAAAAATCTTTTCTTCATGTTCTGATTCTAATACTTTTTGGTTTGCAGTGGTTTGAGGTCTTAGATGGCTTGCTAGGGCCATTTTGGAAGGGACTTGGATTGGGTTTCAATTGCACATTCTTACTCTTTGGATCTGTGATTCAGCTGATAGCTTGTGCAAGGTTAAATTTCAATAATTGTTCCCAATTATTCCTTATAAATTAATGCCAAAAGTTATGGTGTATGTTTGTTCCATTGGAGGCTTTAATAATTTATTTTGTTTCTTTGATTGCAGTAACATATACTACATAAATGATCATTTGGACAAAAGGACATGGACATACATATTTGGGGCATGTTGTGCCACAACCGTGTTTATACCTTCCTTTCACAATTATAGAATTTGGTCATTTATTGGCCTTGGAATGACCACTTATACTGCTTGGTATTTGACCATTGCTGCCCTCGTTCATGGCCAGGTAATAATTTCTCTCTTCTATCTCCCTCTCTTTTAGTTTTAGGGTTTCGGTTTAAGATAAGATGAAGCCTTGACAAGTTAGGGGAATTAGTGGATTTAAGTTATCTAATTATCTATACTTAATTTTAAAAATCAATTTTACCCTATGCTTTGCACAGGTCAAAAAATTAGTTTAACTTATAAAAGGGGATACTAAATTACAAATAGTCCAAATTATGACAAAATGCAAAATTTTCAAGCCGCTAATCAGAAATCTATTATACCAACTTTAAATCACTAGTAAAGTGCACAGTTTGACACTTATGTCCTTATACATTGTTTTGAAGGATCTTCTAGGATTTCCCCTATAACAGAAGCAAGCAATGTTAGGTGCATATCCAATTTGCTCTGTTGGACTTATTGGATGTGTACTACTTAAATCTATTCTTTTTTTAAATTTCATTTGGTTAACAAAACATCTTCATATCAAGTATCATTTTAGATTATTCTCATTAAGAAATAATAGTGCTTCAATAGTCACATATTTGTTGTCCGAAAACATCATTCACATCTTCTAAAATAATAATGGTTTGTAATTGATTAAACATTACACTCTTAAAAAAATTGAGTATTTGAGAGTCTAAGAATCGCCCAACAATTATATAATCGAAAACAATCATGTCACCTATTTACGAGTTATCGTGATTCAGGATGATTTGCAAATGCAAACTCAAGTGCCATGCCAATTGCCAAAACCATCATTTTCCCATTTTGCATTAGCCATCACCCTCCCCCTCCATCTTCCCTATATCCCGTTATTTTTGTCTGTTATGGAAGATTAAATTGATTTCTTAATGGGAGTAAAAGTTAGAATTTGAAAGTTTCATGTGGAAAAACAATATTACAGGTCCCAGGTGTGATCCACTCTGGTCCAAAAAAGTTGATGCTCTATTTCACAGGAGCAACTAATATCCTCTACACTTTTGGTGGACATGCTGTAACTGTGTAAGTGTAAATCCTTTACTCTCTTCACTCTACCTTAATCTCAATTTTTATCACTTTCTTCTTGCAGCTTTTGTTTCCCTATATTAAGGAATTTATGGTAGATTAACATCATTATGTTGGTATACATGCATTGTTTATTTATTGGGATTTTTGCTTTATGCTTTTTAAGCCAAGGATTATTGTCCAAATCTTGGTTGATTTCTTAATCACTTATCTTTGGCTAATTTCAATTCTTCTTGGTTATTGGCTTTTTACCTAACAAAAGACCAAATTGTGTCACTTTCTGCAGTTATGTGCATAAAATAGGGTTAGTATAATAAACATCTCATGTTTATTTATAGGTTCATTATTTCACTGGAAACTTTTGAAAAAGTTTAAGCTTTTCTTATGTATGCTTTTTTCTTTTTGAGGATATAAAATTTGACTTTTCATTTGTTTTAGATTGAGCATTGATAAATTATTAGTAACTATTAGCTGAAATAATCCAATAACTGTGGGGAACCACTTATTCTCCTTTTTTTCTCACCATTGTTTATGTAATTGGCACATTAAGGATTCATGCGCATAAAAGTGTGGCCCCTAGTTCAATCTTTGTTTAAACGACCCAATAGATCTTATGGCCAAATCACTTCTTGTTTAGATTTCACCATTTGGGTGTCATCAATCCTAGTATTAGCATCCTATGTAATTCTAATTCTAAGGTAATGAATGGATTTGAAACGTGATCGTCGTTCTGTCACTGTGCTATTAAGGAACAATCAGGGACCATATGTAAAGCTTTAATCTTTTGGCGGTAACTTTAAGCATTCAAATATCATATAGCTATTTTTTTTTTTTTAATAATTATTGTTCCAAAATCTGTAAATAATTACTGGTCCGAAAGAAATGTTGAATTTTGCTAGTATTACGTCTTGATTTGAGGCTAAATTAGCTGTGATATTAGTAGTAAGTGTAAGGATTTTGTTGTCTTCTTACCAACTCTCTTTATAGTAAAGTAATAAATCCAAAATAGAATGAGGCAATTGTTTTCTATTTTCTGAAAAGAATTGAACTATGATGATTCTTGTGCAGTTGTGCTTCATGCTTTGGTCCATACTCCATAAGAAATGATGGTTGACCATACTGTCAAATGCATACCTGTAATAATTGGCATATTTTGTACTCAAGAATGAATTTATCCATTGAAATTCAATTGTGGGTCCTTATGCCTTACTGATAAAAAAAAAATGACTTACCAGGGAAATCATGCATGCTATGTGGAAGCCACAGAAGTTCAAGTACATTTATCTACTTGCAACTCTATATGTTTTCACCCTTACACTACCTTCTGCTGCTGCTGTCTACTGGGCCTTTGGTGATGAACTCCTCAACCATGCCAATGCTTTCTCCCTCCTTCCTCGTAATGGCTTCCGTGATGCTGCTGTCATCCTTATGCTCATTCACCAGGTTTAACTCGCACCCTTGCCTTAGATCTTTTTTGAATCGTACTGCTGCATATTAACAAAAAACATTGGAACATTATTGTTAAATCATTTAAAGTGTGACTTGTCCCATGCAATGCACCCTGATTTCAATTCAACACGCAACACTTGACATGTAAAGAATCATCTCCGTCCAAATTCAATTGTCACATTACTAGTTTAGGCTACACTATCTAATACTTCCAAACAGAAAAAGTATTCATGAAAAGCAAACGATCTCTTATGTAACGAAATCGTGTGAATGATTTTAAGGATCCAAAATATCTTTCTAACTTTATCTTTTGGGGCATGGACAGTTTATAACATTTGGATTTGCATGCACACCTCTGTACTTTGTGTGGGAAAAAGTGGTGGGGGTGCATGATACCAAGAGCCTATGTTTAAGGGCAGTGGCTAGATTACCAGTGGTGATACCAATATGGTTCTTAGCAATTATCTTTCCTTTCTTTGGGCCCATCAACTCTACTGTGGGGGCCTTCTTAGTCAGCTTCACTGTTTATATCATACCAACTTTGGCCCACATGCTCACCTACAGATCGGCCCAGGCCCGTAAGGTACTCTTCTGGACCCATCTCTCATTTGCTCTCTTCTGCATTTTTGATTAATTTTTATTTTTGGCTAATAATTCTATATTGTTCTTTTTAGATTTGGCTTTATCATTACTCCTAGATCACCTTAGCTAAGTTAAAAGGCTGGATTTTTATTTTATTTTGACATGACACATGTATGATATATGAAATTATTGTAGGTCCTATTTAGTTCAAGATAAAAGTCAGGGAAAATAATACCTAACTCAGATTTATTGAGGACCCTAACTAGATTTCCCTCCTTTTTGACCCTCTTGCATGTGTACTTGTCACTATTGTCAGTGACCTAAAGTTTGAAAACTTATCTTTATGGTCTTGTTAGATTTAGATTACAACGAATTCTTTGGTGAAAGTTTGGAAAACTTAGTTAGTAAGAGTGCCTATTTTAGTTCATGATAAAGCAATCAAACATGCAGAATATACAGTATCCTTGTTAAGTGAAGTAGAATGGCTAATTGTTAGTCACTTAATACAGAACATTTCAATTGTCTCTGTCAAAACTCGTAACCTTTATGTTCATTTTGAGTAGTATGCTAGTCGAACCCTTCATACACCCTATGTATTTGTGTCGGTCTGTTGGAGCCTTGGCAGCTGAAACCATAGAATTTTGTTCATAAGAAAAGTTGAATTTGACACTTCTAGTCTGAGTGATATAGAATATCTACAGCAGAAGTAAAAGAAATTAACTGCAATATGTTTTGTATTGAAAATGCAGAATGCTGCTGAGAAGCTTCCTTTCTTCTTTCCAAGCTGGACAGTAATCTATGTGTTCAACGCATTCATAGTTATGTGGGTATTAGTTGTGGGTTTCGGGTTTGGAGGGTGGGCAAGCATGGTGAACTTCATCAGACAAGTTAATACTTTCGGTCTTTTTGCTAAATGCTACCAGTGTAAGCCACCCCCAGCAGCACCAGTACACTGAGGCGTTGCTCTATAGAATGCTGGTTTGATACTTTGATTGATCAAAGAACAAATATATGAAGTGTAATCAGTATTAATTTTGTTTTGTGGGTGAATACTAGTAGTAGTGTGTTTTGGCGAAGCCTAGCTGTAGCTCTGTTTAATTATCAGCTGGAATTGTAATTTTTCCAAAATGATGTTTGCCAAAAAAATCCTTAAGTTCCTAGGTACATATATGATTTAATGTTGGGTCATTTTGGATGTTGGTAATTCCATGGCTAGATTGGTCCTCTCATGTGTAACATTTGGCTCTATAGGAAAAATTTCTTTTCATTGTTAAGTGTTGCTTGACTATATCATCAATATCTATATGTGCTAATTGAAAAAGAAGTAGAAGAGAAAGTTGACAAACATGTATTAATATCGGTATGTGCCAAGGGATTGTGTACGAGATTATTGGTTCGAATCCCCATTTGCACTATGGAATTTATGGCTCATTTAAAAAAAAAAAAACCTAACAATTTGAATAATTTGATCAATTATTATACAAGTTCAAGAAAGGAACAACTCATGATTAATAGAGAACGGAAAAACAATCTATTCATATGGGGTGTATTAGGTTTGGATATGATTTATCAATACAATAGACAAACTCGCTTTGCCTAGACCAAAAATGTATTTGATCAATTTCTAACCATATTAAGTCAAATAGAACATGTATGCTGGTAATTCAGCACATTTGTGTGTGTTTTTGAATCAATTACAGTACAAGAGCTGTGTTAAATCATAAAATTATAAAGTATATTCAATCAAATAATTTTTTCTTAATTGATGTGGAAGTTGCAACAGAATTACAGTCTTTCACAACATTGCATGCTTCCACTTGCGTTGCACCCGAAAACTACGGCATGCTTCTACAGTTTTACTTCAACTGTTGTGTTGCTTTCAACCCAAATTTACAACTATTTCGGCTGTCTTTAATGTCAGGTAACTGTGATCCCGCAAGACAGCAAATGGGTCCTGTATCTTGTGGGGAAAAAAATGTCTAGGGAAATTATTATCATAATTATGTGCAGTGAACAACAATACAAAAATTAATATATACCCAAATCATTTAAACGTTTATAGTGAATTTCTTTTTGTTTAAAGAGAGCTGCAAAGAGTAGTGATATAACCCCGTTACCCCGTATCCTAAAGTCTTTGTGGACTATTAGCTGGAATTGTTCGAAAGCTGATTTGCTTAGTTCATACTCCGTATTTGTGACAAGAGGTGATAGAAAGAAATTAGATTTTTTTTTAGTGTATCAGTTAATCTATGACTACTTACATGCAATTGCAGTGACACTTCTAGCATCATAGAAGTTTGTTGCTGCCAAAATGACCCGGCATCCACCTCTGTAGGACTAACACCATTATCCCAACACCGGGCAAATTCCTATATAATCTTGTGACCATTTCAGGAAACTTATGGCAATAATGTCCTCATCAATTAATAAAAGGCGCAGATGCCCCAACATCCATTAGACATTTAGATCATTATCCTGATCAATGGTTCATTCACGTGTAGTTATTTACAAATGAAGAAAACTAGACAGTGGACACACCATGTTATTTGTTATATGTTGTTGGGTCGAAATTCACTGCCTTCTTGTTGTATACAATGTTGAGGAATGAAGTAGCTATTTTGGAATTCAAAAACATGAAAATTCTAAGGTGGCCTACTAGTATAGTATACCTTGAAACCGATCTGATTGAACCCAAAAGACCTAACACACACCCTGATACAATACAAGGTAAATCCAATCTATAGACCCTTCAAATTCTGCACTGAATTTAGAATTTAAGAATAGTTGCATCACCAAATTGGCCATTATTTTCGACATTTTGCATCTTGAATACGTTAGCTGTCAGCCTGTCACATACTCATAATATGCCTTCTGCACCTCATTACCAGCCGTTCTTCGGCCTCTCTTATGCCTTCTTTGTTTTGGTAGAACATCTGTGAGTCCATCAACTCTGTTTGCTTATTAATAGTAGAAATGGACCAAAAACATGCATGTTAAGGAAACAATTAGAGTACTACTTTCCGGCTTAGAGCAACTGTATGAACATTTGATCGAGCAAAGTACATGAATATTACTGAATAATAAGTCATTTCATACAGAAAGTTCTTTCAGGCTGAGATCAGACCAACTGTATGAACATTTGATCAAAAATTAATGTTAAATTTTTGGTAACAATGATTTCGGTGTATTCATCCATTTTCCTGTTAAGTTTATGGTAGTTCTTTAAAAAGGAAGGGCAGTAGTAACCAAGTTATTCATTGAAATCCAACCTAGAAACACAAACAAGATTTCAAAAGAAGTTATCACACTCCTAAAGTTCACAATCCTGCAGTGAGATTATTAAAGCGGCTTAATGGCTAACACACCGAAGGAAGCATTGAAGCTTGGCATTTCATCATCCATCTTAGCAACTTTAGCCATGACATCCTCAAAGCTCGCCTTCTCTGCCTCAGCCTTGGCTTTCAGCTTAACAATTTCAAACTCCAACTTATTTTTTTCCATCATGTGTTGTTCAGCCTTGCTTTTCAGTCTCCCTTTCTCAATCCTATGCCTTGTTTTATTCTTCAATACATCTGATAGCTCAACCAGTCTTCTTCTTAGTGGTACGACATTATAACCCATCGTTTGTAGTTCTTGTATGGTCTCCCAAAGCATCTTGGCATCAACCCAAAATCCATTGACGCGTATGCTTAGAATTTGATCAACCGTTTCTCCATATATTCGATCCCATGCATCGATCAAGCTTTGTTTAGCTGCCTCTGAGTAGCTTCTTAAGGGCCAGAAATGTGGACTTTGAGGTATGCCCTTCAGACGACGAGACACCATGATTTGTGATGCAGACGGGATTTGAACACGTTTCTCATCTCCTTCTTTTTTGATTGATTCCTCTGTTCCTTCAAGGTAAACATATTACTCAAATCAACAAGAAGACAGGTAATATACAAATATAATAGACTATTAAACAATCAAGTTGCACTTGAACAAAAGTAAATAATAAAAGAAAGGGATTGTTTAGTTGAAACTTGAAACTCCACTCATTTAATTTGCTTACATAAAGTAGTTAATAAGCAACTTTCTGAATTAATGGGAAGAACTTTCTATGATGTTAATACAATATTTCATCTTATTCTGCTAGCCAAATATCAGTCCAATTTTCTATACTACTAGTCTACTACTACTCGTAGTAGTTTTAATTTCAGTACCTGCAATTTGCCTCCATGTGTTTTTATGTCAACTAAACGACCACTATCACGTATTTAAGTGTAGCAAATAGGGTTATCACTCACCAGCAGCAAAGACGGTTGGTCCCATGGGTTGGGAATAATAACTAGATCCCTCAAAACAACATGGAATTGTCCCTGTTAATGCTGACAGCCCAGTGAATCTAGTTTTAGGATTTTCAGGTATTCCATTACCATGTTTGGTTTCTTTGGAATTCTCTTTTGCATTTCCGTTCTCTGCTAATTAATGAATCCGTGTTAGTTGCATAAGAAGTTCAGCATATGTCATGGAAAAAACTTCCTATGAACTCGAAAATTTCCTCTTATCAAACTTGGAAGTGCACACGTTTGATTAGTACATGACACACATTTTGACTATATCATGTACAAACTACAAAGTGCGTATTTAGGAATTCACATCAATCCTTGAAGATACCAATTTGTGTCAAAATTTACAAGCTGCCCCAATGTTACATTCTATGATAAATCATAATTCAAATCCGATGCATTGATGCTAAATGTAGAGAATTCATATGGTTATAGATGTACTTTAACATACAAGTATACATATCATACCAAGTATAGTTAATCCTCATTAAAAGTGTACGGAGATGGCGATGAAGCCGACACGAGCCTATATTGGAAATTATGGGGTCGACGGGGGCGCACAGTCTGAGTGCTTCGATCATTGACGCCTGTAGAAAATGTGAATTTCCCCATTCCTATTTACGTTCATCATCATAGTAATAAAGATAAAAACATATTAATTAACAAAAAAAAAAAAAAAATGACGTAAATACATAATATATGTAATATGAAAAGAAGAGTTTATAAGTAGGTTAACCTGGTGTTGAGGTTGAAGAGTTTGAGAAGGAGAAAGTGGGCGGGAAAGAATTGGAGTCGCTCATTATTCACTTCCACTACACTAGACTACGGCTAAGTACGTGAATGGTCAGAATGACAAAAGGGTTACTTTAAATTTTAAAGTAGTGAAATCTTTTTTTTTTTTTTTTTTTTTTTTTTGAGGCATAGTAAAATATATACTTAGGACTTGTTTGGTTGACAAACAAATTCACGGGAATTTAGAATTCCTAGGAAATGAATATATGCACTCTTGTTTGGTTGCCAATAATGTAGGAATTGGAACTTCCTAGGAAGTTTTACTTCCCACAAAATGGAGGAATTCACTTACCTAATCCCCCCTAGGTAAGTGGAACTTCCCATGGGAAGTAGAAATTCCTACATCCAACCAAACAAGTTTTGGAAATTCCTAGGAATTACAATTTCATAGGAATTGAGATTTCATGGGAAATTCTACTTCCTACATCAAACCAAACAAGCCCTTAATGTTTAAGATATGAATTGATCTATTCCCAAGTGGAGTGACTATTTATTGCTTCAAAAAAAAAAAAAAAAAAAGTGGAGTGACTATTTAGTTCTATGAAAAATAATTAAATTACATGGTACATTGATTTTGTTAAGTCTATTACTCGTAAAGGATTATATGATTTATATCTATTCAAAAATATGGGGTACATATTATTATTATTATTTCTATTGTTAATATATAGGTCAAATTTAATCATTAATTCACATTAATGTATAAAAGATATAGAGTTATAATCTTGTGTGATGTTGGATGTCATTATAAGGGTACTTTTTAATACGCTGTATTCACGAATGAAATTAGAGATACATGTGTTTTAAGATGTGTCTTCTAAATCATAAAAAGTCAAATGGTGCAAACTAATAGAGACCGTCTCAATGAGTCAATATCACTAAAAAATTGTAGTACATCTGTTATATATTATGTGGAACTTTTGGGTATTATTTGTGAGATACTCCCTCCGTTTTTTATGTATCTATTTGATTTTTGCACTATTCACATTAGAGGTGAGCATGGGACGGGTACCCATACCGTTAGTACTAACAGTTTGGGTACCCGATAACCAAAATCACTAAAAGTGATACCCATAACCGGAACCGATAAGTCCGGGTCCCCGAATTTCGGGTACCCGGATTTTCGGATCGGTTATCGGGAACCCAATAAGATATCCAATAATGATAATTAAACTTAATTATGTAGTTAATATGATATAATTTACAACTAATTAAAAACAATTCCATAAGATCTTGACCAAATTATTAATAATATTACTAATCATTGATATTATAAAGTGATTATGAAGTAAAGTAAAAGTTTAGATTTGTATTAATAGATTTAAGTAGGGAAAAAAAGCAAAAAAAAAAAATGCTTATTGGATCGGATCAGATCGGGTAACCGTTAATTTTAAAATGATACCCATAACCATACCCGATAACAAATTATCGGAACGGGTACCCGAACCGTTATGATCAAATCGGGTCGGGTACCCTAATTTTCGGAACGGTTACGAATCGGTTTTTCGGGTTTTCGGTTTTTCGGGTAGTTTTGCTCAGCCCTAATTCACATACCATAGTTGACTTGATTTTTTCATCTCTATAAAATAAATAAATGTTATTATACATTATTAGATTCGTCATAATGTCTAGTTTCATAATATAATTTTGTTATATTTTTTTAACTAAGGGCCTGTTCTCATACGTCGAAATTCAGTTCAATTCAGCTCCTAATTTCCTTCTCTTATAAAATATTCATTTTAGTTCAGTTAATGAGAACAGACCCTAATTAACAATTAAAGATATTAATGGTAAAAGTTGTATTTCGGCAAATGTGACAGTTAAACTGATGCAAATAAAAGAAAACAAAAGGGGTAAAAAATAAAATATTCAAAAGTTACACATAAATGTAAATATGTAATGGAGGGGTTTGGATCCTCTAGAGTTGAACTCTATAGAGTTCAATAAATCTAGACCCTCCACAAAAGATCAATGGCTAATATTCATCTTGCATGCATTTCAATAAACTCTAAAATGTGTACTTTTATCCTTATTCCAATAATATATGTAAGTTTGAATCAGTTCAGCTTAATAAATGAAAACAAACCCTAAAATGTGTACTTTTATCCTTATTCCAATAAACTCCGAAACCTCCTTTCAAAAAAAAAAAAAAAACTCCGAAACCTCGTTATTGCTAAGCCCGAGAGGCAGTGGACCTTGACACGCGCAGCCCATTGGCTACGAGACGAACACATCTGCATAAGCGGGCCGCATCAATCGAACCAATTTCGAGTTTTCGATATTTCAGAGATAAGATTCCCCACACAATTCGCAATTTCAACTTCTTACACACCCCCAAAACCAAAAAAATCTCCAGCATTCAACCATTTTCATCGTCTACTACAGAATTTTGCTGCCAAATGATGCTGAATTTCACAACAAATTGAAGTTCAATTCGTCGCCATTGAAGCTAAGCATGGGAATTCCAACAGCTTTGCGTTGCAATTCATCGTCGCTTTCGCAGTGTACTCATTGCTCTGTTCTTCGTTTTCAGCCTTTGATTGTTGCTTCTTCTTCTTTGGATTTTCCTCGCAAATTTCGCCGTTGTCAATTGCGATTTCTAGCTGTTTCTAGGTATCGCTTCTTTTTTTTTTTTTTTTTTTTTTTTTTTTTTTTTTTTTAAATTTGACTAGACTAGAATTGCAGTTTAATTGTTATGATGTTATGAATATTGTCATTTTTGATTGATTGTTGAATTTCTGGTATTAGGTTAGGGATTCAAAGAAAAATTGATTTCGTTTGTAGAGTTGGTGAAGATAATATTGAACCTGATACCAATGATAATAAGGTATGTTTTCTTCGATTCAGAAGCTTGATATTTGTTTGGTTGTGTACTTGTGAGTGTGTTTGTGTTTTTTTCTCTTCTAATTTCGTTGTTATTTCAATGTTTTGTGCCAATTTAGGATTGAGAATGATATTGTAAAATTGTCTTTGAATGTGTTTGCACGTACCTTTTTTGACAATATATTGAGAGCTTATGAGCTAATTCTAGTTTGAGTTTAGGTTGATATCATCTCATGTTGGCTACTTGGCTAGTTAAGGATTTCACTTGAGCTTAACGCGAAAGGTTTACTTTGAATCGTAAATTGCTTGCAGTTGATTCATGGGAGTAGATCAACAAGGGGGAGAGAAAAATAAGGGAAACTTTAACTTTGGTTATTGAGTGTATTATTTAGGTCAACTTAATTAGTTTTGCACGACTAAAATTGAGTTGAGTTTGTATTAAGTTTAGACTGTTGAAATTAATTAGCTTGTTTCTTGATCTCCTTATCACTGGACTAATGGAACCATTCTTTAAATTAAGAAATGAGGTAACCATGTCAATATTTTTATCTATCTAACCATTTAGTTGCTTGTTTAGGATAAGTAAGAATTACAGTGAAGCCAAGTGAATGTATATTGTTAAATTAAGAGAGAATGACACTAAGGGCCTGTTCTCATACGTTTATTTTCAGCTCAATTCAGCTCCTAATTTCCTTCTCTTATAAAATATCTCAGTTTAGTCTATGAAAACAGGCCCTGGTGGGAAATCAGTTCAGTTGGTTTGATAATGAAATTTAGCAAATTCTTTATATGATTCTTAAATTTTATGGTCATGTAGTGGGGTTCATGGTGGGAGATGAGTGAAAACCAATGCTTACTCGTAAGGTAGAGCTTAAGTAGTTTGGTTTACAACCATTAGTACAATGCTAGAACTTTTAATTCATCACCATTGTTAAATATTATGTTGGTGCATTATCAAAGTATGGATTCAGCAGCGGGAATCAGTGCGAGCAAGATTTAACATGCATATATCATACTTCATAGTCTGCATTCAACTGAAATAAGAAAGAGCAACTTGTATTGGCATATCAATGTATGTATAAGACTTGGTCTTTGGTTAACTGATATGGAAGGATTTTTAGTTTGACGCTGAAGTTCACACTCAAATCCTATATTACACCTTTTTTGTGTTAATGAGCATAGTATTAATGTTAAAATTTTGGATCTTAATGCTTTAGTCTCTTGTTAAATTTATCAATTTCTAGGGAAAGGACAACCATGAAGGAAATGAAAGTGTGGGGTCGGCTAATTCCAGCACAGAGAATGATTCACAGTTTGAGAAGGTAATTTTTAAATTTGCCCTATAGTTATCATGTAGTTTTGTTATACTTCATCTTATCTCACTCATTTTGATATAGATGTCTGTGGATCTTATATTTTTGTAGGAGAAGGAGCAGGTATCCACCACTGAGGCTCTAAATTCACTGAACAAATTTTTACAAAACAGTCAAAACAGTGAGATCAAAGTCAATGGTGAAGGTGGTTCGCAAGTATGTTGTTATTTGATAGATATGTTGGCATATAACTTCAATATTTTCAATGTATTAGTTTTCTACATTTGACTCACTCATTTTGTCTGTGGATCCCTTTCTTTTTTTTTTTTTTTTTTCCTTTTAGGAGAAGGAGCAAGTATCTACCACTGAGGCTCTAAATTCACTCAACAAATTTATACAAAACAATCAAAACAATGAGATCGAAGTCAATGGTGAAGGTGGTACGCAAGTATGTTCTTATTTGATAGATATAGTGGCATATAACTTTAATGTTTTCATTGTATTTGTTTTCTACTTTTGAGACTGCTCATAAAGTTACAATTTACTTTATTGGTGAACTTTCAAAAAGTAAACAAAAACTTGTTATATTTTTTCTTGCTGAACTGTGTTTTATTGTGCAGAGTTTTGTGTGGGAAGCTAGCATATGCTTTATTATGTCCTGCTTATAACCTTCCTTCCGTCATTTAAGGAAACTCTACCCCATCTTTGGGATTAAGGCTTTGATTGTTATTGTGGAGAGAAGCACACTTTTAAAGAATTATCTTTGTAACGGAGACTCATCCTTAATTTAAAACTGTATAAGTGTCAAACTAACAACTTTGATTTAATTCTCTGGTCAAAATCTCATACTCACTTGTCCATTTTCCATCTGATAAAAGATAATTTTATACTTGTACTCAAAGTGTTTTTTTTTTTTTTTTTTTTTTTTTTTTTGTAGAATTAAAACCACGTAATTTGTTTTAGATGTGAGCAACTTCTAGTTGGTTAGTATGATAAAATTTTGTTCCGTACCTAATAATGTTCTGTTGGTGGCATAATGTATTGGCAATTGTCTGACAATCATTTGTTCTTGTTGAATATCAGCAGGATGATCCTGATGATTTACAAGTTTCCAGTGGCTCACCTCTTCCAGGTGTGAAGGTGATTATGGTTGTATCTGATAGGCTAGTGTTTCAGCTCTGTTAATTTTTTTATTCTTTCTACTAATATTGCCTTGGCTCTGACCTTTAACCATTCTGCTGATTAAATTTTATAAATGCTATGAACAGCCGCAACAACTGGATGAAACAATTAGGATTCCAAAGGAGACAATTGATATACTTAGAGATCAAGTATTTGGATTTGACACTTTTTTCGTGACAGGGCAAGAACCATATGAGGTTAGTCATTACAACTGCAGCATCTGTTGCCTTGTTAGTTGTCACTCTATTGCATATGCTCCTCTTTCTGTGTCCCTCCTAGCCTCGTAGGGTTACAGAAACCAGCTAGTTGTCTCAAACAAGAATAAAAAAAAAAATGAAAGTTGTCTCAAATAATTGTAAGTGTTCGTAAAACTTAAAGGACTGAAAATTTGAACTGTATTCAATGTGGTACTTGATTAGTTAAGTTAGTGTAGAGAACTAGTCTTTTCATGTCTTATGCTTCTGTGCTTCCTGCTGATAACTTTTTATGGGTGATTTGGGATCTTATGACTCTTAGCTAGTATACATTTAAAGAAACCGTCTCTTGATCGTAATTCTAATATTGAGAATGGTGATGCTTTGAACTGTTGGCTTGCTTGCTGTCTCTGAGTTTATGAAAGTTTGATTATAAATACTCCCTTTTTTTTTTTTTTTTTTTTTTTTGAGAAATATGAATACTTTCTTTTTAAATGTAGAGTCTTATTGATGATTTAAAACCCAAATAAAGTAAATTGTTATGAAATTGTGTTCTGTTTTTTCCTAAAGTTTTTATTTTTATTTTTTTTATTTTTTTTTTGTTAGGGTGGAGTATTGTTTAAAGGAAATTTACGAGGGGTAGCATCTGAAAGCTATGAAAAGCTATCAAAGAGGTTGCAGGTACGTTGGTCTTTAGTCTTTGCAGTTTGCACTTGTTAATTTTAAGATGAATAAGGCTTTTATTTCACATGCAGGATAAATTGGGAGATCAATATAAGCTGTTTATGCTTATCAATCCTGAAGATGATAAGCCTGTGGCAGTGGTGGTGCCAAGAATAACATTGCAACCAGAGACAACAGGTAAATAAGTCTCTCTCTCACTCTTTTTTTTTAGATGTTATGGTTGCTTATTAATCTTCAGACTAATGCAACATTCTCAACCTTGATTATTGTCATGAATTGCTGCAGCTGTTCCAGAATGGTTTGCAGCAGGGGCTTTTGGATTGGTGACTATCTTTACCTTACTACTTCGAAATGTTCCTGAACTGCAGTCAAACTTGTTGTATGCCTTTTTCTCAACTCTCGTTCATCTCTAATTTACAGTCTTTACACTTATTCCATGTTTCACCCAAAACTCTGGACATTATAGTTAGGAAAGACTTCAGATATGCCCTTTTAAATTTATCTGTCATAGGATTTGTTACATGATATTTGTCTCATGTCTGAGACTTTGAATAAAACTATGTTTTGTCAAACCCTTCAGATCTTATCTGAATAAACTTGATCATCTTAGGTGGTTGCATTTTCTTCTTTTCTGAGTATATAAATGTTCCCGTGTTCTTAAAAGGCCATTGATCAGTCAACTTGTGGTGGCAGCATACCTAAGATATTGTAACTTATTCAAATCACAAAACTACTATGTTAAGTACTTATGTATTCCATCTGCTATCTCAGATCTAGTTTTGATAAGCTTGAATTGCTGAAGAATGGTCTTCCTGGAGCACTTGTGACCGCGCTTATTTTGGGGGTACATGAGCTTGGACATTATATTGTTGCTAATGATTGTGGAGTGAAACTTGGTGTGCCATATTTCATCCCCAGTTGGCAGGTATTATATTGCCCCTGTTGAATATTTAACAGATATATAAGTACTGTCTTTGCTGGTAGAGTCCATTCATTTATACAATTATTATATAAGATATCAGGACATTGAAGAAATCTGATGAGCATAAATGAAAGGCAAGGCAAGAAAAGCTTTTAGTGAAAATGTGTACCAGCATTGTATAATCTTCTGTTTTCCACTATCCTTTGGCAATGTAGTTATTTAAGTCTCCTGTTCCAGAATAGTATGCCTCACTTTTCCATTTTTATCTGTTGCCTATTTCTAAAAATGGAATCAACCCACTTCTTTACTGTCTCTCTATTCCCAGCACTAAAAGTTAGGTGCCACGCCTCTTATTTAATGAAATATACTCCACTATAATCACAACAAATCATTTATATCTGATAACCAAACGCCAATTAGTCGCCTAAAGTATTTTTCATAATAAGTGAGCAAACTATTTTAGAATGTTGATGTACCCCTTTTGTCCCCTAAAATACTACTCCATGTCCATGTCGACTTTAAAATAATAACATGGTCTAATTAATGAATTGTAACGAACTAATAATATTACAGTTTAGTATTAATAGTGAAAGTAGATTGGATAATAAAATAATGAACCAAAGAAGAGAACAACATGGGACAAACTAAAATCAAAATGTGGGGAACATGTCAATATTTAGTAAATGGGAGTATTACAAAAGATGTTAAAAAGAAAGACAAGAAGATGTCCTTATGCTAGGGCTATGGTTTTTCTGTACCAAGCTGGAGAGGCATGAGGGAGACATTATGTGGAGCAGTGGAGGCGGGAATCAAAGAGGCAAATTGTAGAAGGATCCTCCAATAATCATACATGATATATGCCCTTTACAGTAAGAGGCGAACACACGCATCACTGAACCTTTTGTAATACGATAGTCTACTGTTCCTATGCTTGAAAGTGAGAATTTGGATAACCTGCTATGTATTGAATAAAATATCACGGTTTATATCTATTATTGTTGAAGATCCATAAATTAAATTCCTATGCATGAAAATGAGATGTTAAGCTTTTTTTAGAAATGCTGCACAAAATGTCTGAGGATTTACTCTGACAAGTGACAACAGATAGGCTCTTTTGGTGCCATCACAAGAATCGTCAATATTGTACCTAAACGTGAGGACCTTCTGAAGGTTGCTGCGGCTGGACCCCTGGCTGGATATAGTTTGGGTCTCATACTGTTCTTTTTGGGATTCATTCTACCACCAAGTGATGGCCTTGGCATTGTGGTTGATGGTTCTGTTTTTCATGAATCATTGCTAGTCGGGGGAACTGGTATGCAAAATTCTCTTGCATCCATTTGTTGCATTCTAGTGTTGGATGAGGATGTTGATGATATTCATTTTTTTGGTGAATAGCAAAACTTCTTCTAGGGGATGTCCTTAAGGAAGGTCAAGCAATATCACTCAATCCACTTGTCCTATGGGCATGGGCTGGGCTGCTAATTAATGCCATTAACAGCATTCCGGCTGGAGAGCTTGACGGTGGGCGTATTTCTTTTGCCATATGGGGAAGAAAGGTACAGTTAAGAAGTATACAGGTATAAGCAGAAAGCCAAATTTGGTATCTCAAATTACCTGCTGATGACTTTACTTGATACTTGACAGGCAGCCGTTCGGCTTACTGGAGCCTCAATTGTACTTCTGGGACTGTCTTCATTGTTCAACGATGTGGCATTCTACTGGGTAGTTCTGATATATATCTTACAGAGGGGTCCGATTGCTCCCCTTTCTGAGGAAATCAGCGAACCTGACCAGAAGAATGTTGCTCTTGGGATTGCAGTTTTAGTCCTTGGACTTCTTGTATGCTTGCCTTATCCCTTCCCATTCGCCAATGAAGCCTTGACGAATTTATGAAACACAGGCAGAGTTTTATAAGTTGTTTATCGTTGATTAGTTTTGTAAGTATAGTATCACAAAATATTTGTTATAGTACCTTCAAACAATCCCCTCGGGCATTGTACTTGGGAATGTCATCTCACAGCAATAAAGGTTTAAAATTCAATACATTAGGAATGAATTTCGAATCATTCACGTACTCTCTCTTTGCAACTTTCTTTAATGTTATTACCATACAACTCTTCCATCGTGATATTGTTTGAGACCTTGGTTCGCTTGTATATTGTAGGAATTGGACGATTTTCACAACTCCACTCCACTAAGAATCAACCCCTAAGATGTTGTACTCTCGATAATAACATGTGCACAAACATGTCCGAATTGATGATATACTTTGATTCCCATTCCATTTCAACTTAAAAATTTTCAGTTTCACATTAAATTTAGATATTACGTATATGTTATAAATAATGTAATCATATGAAAAGTTCATAAATAGAGAGAAATTCAAAAGGACTTAGTAAATAACTGATTTCCAAACAAATTCTAAATTAAATGAGAGAGCGCTAAATCAACTCTAATTAGTAAAAATAATTTCTAGCAAACAATTCTATAAATTAGAGCGAACTTTTACATTAGACACAAATTTAGGAGTAGGTATTAGCGAGGGGATAGTTTATTCCGATGCGCCTCTGATCGAAATAAAGAAGCTGCTAGAGGAGGATGTTAGAGGAGTTACAACTCTTCGTTTTATTGCTTCGTTTTATTTCTGTGTAGGGCCTTTCCCACTTCTGCCTCAAAAAAAAAACATTAGACACAAATTTGAAATTTTGATTAGGAACAAAAAAAAAAAGGCACGAAAGCAGCCTATATAACAGCATGTAACGACTAACGAGTGACCCTCTTGCAAAGATCCTATCCAAATTCTCTTATCTTGAAACCCTCCAATGGCTTCACTGCTGCTCGGAACCACTTCCATGGCGTCCCACGCCGTCTCTTTCTCCTTCTCTCATTCTCACTCCGTCACCGGAATTTCTCTCTCCTCTCCTTCCGCTGTTTCTCTCTCTACTTCCGTCGCAACTTCTCCAGCACTGCCGCTCAGTAAGTAATTCGCCTTCAACTAATCAATTATTCAATCAATAAACCTCCGAAATTCCCAATTCAAAACCCTAATTATTCAATTAATTGTTCTCTTCAATTACTAATTTGTATCTCTATTTCTGTGTTAGTTTACTGTGGCAGAGGTGACAAGAAGACTGCCAAAGGCAAACGCTTCAACCACTCTTTCGGAAATGTCAGTTTTTATCCCTCGCTCTTTCTATGTCTTTTTGTTTTTTCTTTTTTTTTTTTTTGATCCAAATGAGGAAAATTCCAATAAAAACAAAAGAACAGCAAACAAAGCAAAACAATAAAACAACTAAACTAGGAAGACTACGGAGGTACAAAGCGAGGCAAAGACACCCCTCTTGCATCCTCTTCTAAAATTCTACCTAGCTCAAATTGGCCTTGTGTTTGTAGCAGTGTATCAAAACCTGTTAATTCCGCCCGTATTTAGTTGTCACATTACTGGTTCAAATTACACCATCGATTTAACTATATTTTCCGGGATAATCATTTATGGAGTATCTCTTATTGAAATTATGTTTCAATCAGTTGTTTACTTGATTGCATACACAATTACAAGTACAACATTGACAATGCAGAAATTTTATGAAGGCAACGTCTTGATTGATTTGATTTATGCATTCTTACATTGGTAATTTTGAATCAATTGCTTGAAGTAAGTGATACATGAGTGTAACTTATTGTTGCAAACTCTTTTGTTATTGTTGTGACTTAGTGAGTAATTTTTGCTTCTTTTGTGAAACCAAGTTAAAGCTTGAGTTGTGAAATTTAGTTTTATGAAACTGAATTTTACTCTCTTATTCTTGTGTTGGAACACATTACTTTAGGAACTAGGACAAGACCTGGATTAAGTTTGAACTATAATGCTATCTTGCTTAGTTGAATTGAACTAGCTTTTGTGCTCACACATATTGCTCGATGTGTAATATTAGGCGAGACCTAAGAACAAGAACAAGGGACGAGGCCCTCCAAAAGCGCCAATCGTTCCTAAAGGGGATCCATCTGAGAAAGAGGAATGATGATGAGAAATTTATGTTGATTCTGAATAGAATGTGTCGAGGTATTCCTTGCCCCTCTTCGCACCGGTTAGGTAGCAGGATGGTACTCGAGTTGTCAATGTAATTTTTGTACACTTTTCAAAACCTTTTAGCTCTTTATGGCAATGTAAACCTTATTTTTTTTTCCTGAAAGATAATGTGGCTATTTCCCCTGCTTGTTATATATGAGGACTTATCGAAGCCCTTTTGAGCTGAGTCTGCTTTGTTAGCTGATGGTAGCGCTCTATTTTATTGCAACTTTTTATGAAAAAACATCAATTAAGGTTGTTAGTTGCAACATTGTGATTGTTTACAACTTCAATTCAGGATGATTTTGCTGATGTTAAATCTGGTTATGAAAAAACACTGATTGAGGTCGTGAGTGCATTTCCCTTTTGTGGCTAAACCAGCGCCATTGCCAACCTAGAAGAGATACTCATACCAAGGCTAATGCTTTGTCATGTATGCCAACTTTTACATCTTACGCCATGAAGGTTGTGTCATTTATGAATCAACCATGGGATTAGAGCTGTCAAAAGTTGACCCGACCCGAGATACCGACTCAAACCTGATTATTAACTGAACCATCTGAACCCAAAAAAATGGTGACCCAAACCCGACTTGAAACCGACCCTAGACCCGAGTTGACCCGAGTATGTGAGACTTGAACCCGAACATGAACTGACCTGGAGATGAGCCGACCTGAATGTAACCCGTAAATTAATGACATGTACCGAACACAACTGGAACCGAAATTGACCCAAACCCGTTTTATCCCGTCAAAACCCGAATATAACCCGACTTGTTACGAACCTGACCTGAATTCAACCCGAATCGTTCCTAACCCGACCCAAATTTAACCCAACCTGTTACAAACCCGACCCGAAATCAACCCGATGTCCCGACTTGTAATTAAACTGACCCAAATTCAACCCGATTTGTTACTGACCCGACCCGAATTTTACCAGACCCATTACTAACCCGACAAAAAAATGTAATCCGATTTGTTACTAACCCGACTCGAAATCAACACGACTTGTGTCATTTATGAATCAGCCATGGGATTAGAGCTGTAAAAATTTGACCCGACTCGAGATACCGACTCAAACCCAATTATTAACCGAACCATTTGAACCCAAAAAATGGTGACCCAAACCCGACCTGAAACCGACCCTAGACCCGAGTTAATCCGAGTATGTGAGACCTGAACCCAAACATGAACTGACCTGGAGATGAGCCGACCCGAATCTAACTCGTAAATTAATGACCTGTACCGAATCCGACCGAAACCGAAATTGACCCAAACTCGTTTTAACCCGTCAAAACCCGAATTTAACCCGACTTGTTACGAACCTATCCTGAATTCAACCCGACCCGTTCTTAACCCGACCCGAATTTAACCCAAACTGTTACAAACCCAACCCGAAATCAACCCGACTTGTAGTTAAACTGACCCAAATTCAACCCAACTTGTTATTGAACCGACCCGAATTTTACCAGACCTATTACTAACCCGACTAAAAAATTCAACCCGATCTATTACTAACTCAACTCGAAATCAACACGATTTGTTATTGACCCGACCTAAATTCAACCCAAATTGTTCCTGACCCGATTTCAAATCACCTTAAATGCAATTTAGACCACCTTATTACTCTTGATCAAATCATTTTGTCAAGGGAGACCAAGTCGGTACAGGCCAGCAAAAGAAAAGAACATCATCCTCAAATTTAGGAGTTAAATATAGTATATATTTGTTGTATGGTCAAAGGAGATAATTATCTTCCTAAATTATAGACTATAGATCCCTACTATATTGCCAGATATATAATAGTCAAAAGAAATAATTAGCTTGATAAAAATGATAATTATATATTTATAGTTAGTTGAACCTGAATATGACCTGACTTGGAAATGACCCGACCTGATTGTAACTTGCAAATTATTGACTTGAACATAACCCGACTTGAATCCGAAAATGATCCGACTTAAAAATGACCCAGCCTAATTATAACCCGCAAATTATTGACTTGAACCAAACCTGACTTGAACCCGAGAATGATCCGAATTGAAAATGACCCGACCTGATTATAACCCGCAAATTATTGACTTGAACCAAACTCGACTCAAACCCGAGAATGACCCGACCTGATTCTAACCCCATTGAATTGAACGAAACCCGGCTCGAACCCGAGAATTACCCTAACCCGTTTTAACCTATGAAAACCAGAATTAAACCCGACCTATTGTTCACCAGACTCGATTGTAACCCGACCTCTTATTGACCCGACCGAAACCAGACCCAAACCCGATAAGAAGTATGACCCGACATAACTGACTCAAGCATGACCCAATCCAAACCTGACCCACATAGGTTATGGAATTAATCCGAATTTACCCGACCCACTTTTCCGACCCAAAATCGACCCGTTTACCCGAATTGACAGCTCTACCCGAATTCTCCAAAATTTCTCAAAAACCTTGGATATAAAAATTGCCGAAATGTTTACCATGATCCCTAATACCCTCCGTGAGTCCAATTGGCTGGGTGGAACCATCCAATTTGCCTTTAAACGGCCAATTTACCGGTTTACAACTTGCACCGATTTCATTAACTCAAGCCTACAACGAACATTTATGAAACCATTTAATGATCATTTATGGTTCCAAACAGCATAATATGACCCCGAGATGTATCCCCTAAAATCTCAAGCCTTTTCGCCACAAGGTCCTGAAACCTCAAAAAATTCTTAAAAAGCGTGGATATTAGTCTTTAATTTTGGAAATTTTTTTACTTTTTTCGCCCGGAAATAAAAATTGCCAAAATGTTTACCATGTCCCCTAATACCGTCCGGGAAACCAATTAGGTTGGTGGAACCATCCAATTTGCCTTTAAACATCCAATTTACCGGCAACTTGCACCGATTTCATTAATTCAATCCTACCACGAACATTTATAAAACCATATAATGATAATTTATAGTTCCAAACGGCATTATAATACCCAGAGATATATCCCTTAGAATTTCAATACTTTTTGACACCGAGCCCCGAAACCTCCAAAAATACTTAAAAATTTGTGGATATTAGCCTTCAATTTCGGAATATTTTGACTTTTTTTCTCCCGAAAATAAAACTTGTCGAAATGCTCACCATGGTCCTAATACCCTCTTGGAGTCCATTTGGGTGGGTGAAACCATTCAATTTGCCTTTAAACGACCAATTTAGCGATTTACAACTTGCACTGATTTCATTATTTCAAGTTTACCATAAAACATTTATGACAACATATAATGATCATATCTGGCTCCAAACACATTATATGACCCCCGAGATATATCTCCTAGATTTTCAAGACTTTTTGACACTGGGCCCCGAAACCTCCAAAATTACTTAAAAAGTGTGGATATAATCTTCAATTTTAGAATTTTTTGACTTTTTTTGGCCCGAAAATAAAACTTGTCGAAATGTTCACCATGGTCCCTAATACCCTTTGGGAGTCCAATTGGCTGGGTGGAACTGTCCAATTTGCCTTTAAACAGCCAATTTATCGGTTTACAACTTGCACCGATTTCATTAACTCAAGCCTACAACGAACATTTATGAAACCATATAATGATCATTTATGGTTCCAAACGGCATAATAAACCCTGAGATATATCCCCTAGAATTTCATGACTTTTCGATACCGGGCCTCGAAACCTCCAAAATTACTTACAACTGTGGATATTAGCCTTTAATTTCGGAATTTTTTTGACTTTTTTCTCCCGAAAATAAAACTTGTCGAAATGTTCACCATGGTCCTAATACCCTCTTGGAGTCCATTTGGGTGGGTGAAACCATTCAATTTGCCTTTAAACGGTCAATTTACCGATTTACAACTTGCACTGATTTCATTATTTCAAGTTTACCACAAAACATTTATGACAACATATATAATGATCATATATGGTTCCAAACACATTATATGACCCCCGAGATATATCTCCTAGATTTTCAAGATTTTTCGACACCGGGCCCCGAAACCTCCAAAATTACTTAACAAGTGTGGATAATTAATCTTCAATTTTAGAATTTTTTGACTTTTTTCGCCCAAAAATAAAGCTTGTCAAAATGTTCACCATGGTCCCTAATACCCTTTGGGAGTCCAATTGGCTAGGTGGAACCATCCAATTTGCCTTTAAACAGCCAATTTACCGGTTTACAACTTGCAACGATTTCATTAACTCAAGCCTACAACGAACATTTATGAAACCATATAATGATCATTTATGGTTCCAAACGGCGTAATAGACCCCGAGATATATCCCCTAGAATTTCAGGACTTTTCGATACCGGGTCTCGAAACCTCCAAAATTACTTAAAAACTGTAGATATTAGCCTTTAACTTTGGAATTTTTCGACTTTTTTTTCGCCCGAAAATAAAATTTGTCAAAATGTTCACCATGGTCCCTAATTCCCTGCGGGATTCCAATTGGATGGGTGAAACCATTTAATTTGCATTTAGACGGCCAATTTACCGATTTACAACTTGCACCAATTTCATTAATTCAAACTTCTCACGAACATTTATGAAAACATATTATGATCATATATGGTTCCAAACGACATTATATGACCCCATGATGTATCCCCTAAAATCTCTAACTTTTTCGACATCGGGCCCCGAAACCTCAAAAAATTATTCAAAAAGCGTGTATATTAGCCTTTAATTTTTGAATTTTTTGAATTTTTTTTCGCCCGGAAAAAAAATTGCCGAAATGTTTACCATGGTCCCTAATACCCTCTGAGAGTCCAATTGGGTAGGTAAAACCATCCAATTTGCTTTTAAACGACCAATTTATCGATTTACAACTTGCACTGATTTCATTAATTCAAGCTTATCACGAACATTTATGACAACATATGTTCATATATGGTTCCAAACGACATTATATGACCCCGAGATGTATTTACTAATATCTCTAGCCATTTCGACACTGGGCCCCGAAACCTCCAAAATTTCTCAAAAAAGCGTGGATATTAGCCTTCAAAATTGGAATTTTTCAACTTTTTTTCACCCGGAAATAAAAATTGCCGAAATGTTTGCCATGATTGCTAACACCCTCAGGGAGACCAATTGGGTGGGTGGAACCATCTAATTTGCCTTTAAATAGCCAATTTACCGGTTTACAACTTGCACCGATTTCATTAATTCAAGCCTACGACGAACATTT